AAAAAAAAAAACAGGAGCTTCGAGACGATTGCACAGAGAACGCTTACATAATTTGTATTCTGCACCAGATACTGTTCGGATGGTTAAATGAAACCGCATGAGAGTGGCAGGATATATAGCAAGCTCGGGGACATGAGAAGTCATGACAAACTAAGCTGAAAAGCCTGAATAGAAAAGACCAGTTGGGAGATTTGAACACATGAGGAAAGTGGAATGTTAAGCCAATAAAGAGTAAGGTTGTGGACTGGATTGAACTGCCTCACAATAGGGACCAGTTGCGGGTTTTTGAACATTTATTTTACGTGTTGACTCAATGATTTAATTACAGATTTACCCTACATCGGTCTGTGCTTGTGTTCCGCCATATTCCTGTGCTGTGCAGTCTTCAAATAATTTCGCAATTGCAAGCAATTTTTGCAGTTATCAAATGTCTCATTCAATTTCGCCACTGCCTAATGTATATTTCCTCATTCTCGCCTTTTATTCTTTTGTTTATCGTATTCTGCTTCCCTCCTCGCTTTCCGTGCTTAATTAAGCAGCACGCCGTGAAGATGTATTGGGTGCTGGAGGTGTAGCTGCACGTATTTTCAACCTCGGCATTGGTTGGAGGTGAGTGGTCAGCTTCACGCACCGGCCGCTTTACCCCCGGGGAAAGAGCCGCTGCTACCCTTTGGACAGGAGGCTGGTCAGACCCCAGAGCCGGTCTGGACAATGAGAATAGAAACATTTTTTGCCCCTCCCTGGGACCGAACCCCGGCCGTCTGTATACCGACTGAGCTATCCCATCTCTACAAGAATGTGGGTAGTTTATTTTCGATTTAACCTTTCTCCTTCACTGCTCTTATAAACCTGTGTGGGTCTTCGTATTCTCCATGGTTTCAGTAACATTTTCTGGGGTGGGGTCCTTAGCCCAAAGTCCAAGCCCCAACCTGGAGGAGCAGGGACTTCACTTGGTCTGGCCGTTACCCTTTGATCTGTCTGGCATGAGTGGCCTTACACAGAGCTTACACTCCCGCCAACAAAGCTCTCCGGGTCACTTGGCCGCGCAAACCTTCTCCCCACGATAAGACGATAGCCCTCGAGAAGCTTATGTTTAATTAGATTTACTATAAGTAACAGAGGATATGTAACGTTCCACAATCAAATTTCGGCCCGAAAACCAGTCATTACATCCGGATCTGTTAGTGGTTTTCTAAAGTTCCCTCATAAATGAGGCGACAGTACCTCATATTATGTTAACTGAATATTATTCGGCGCTGAGCTACTGGCAACGTCTTAAATAAATCATAATTAAGTAAATAAATAAATAGCGTCACAACGCGGCGTGGGCAAGTAGAACCAGATTATTTTATTCCGAGCTGACGGGTGCTATCCAAAATATGGCCACAGAATAGTGCACCCTCCCGCCAACTTAGCATCCAGCTGTTACTGTAACTCGATGGATGCTCACTCGTCTGTTTCCTGTAACGCGGCTACGTCGAGTTTGTTGCACTCAGCCAAGATCGTCGCGTGCTGCTTATACAGGGTGATGCGATTATTGATGTTTTCAGTCACGTGACACTTGATAAAGTTCTGAGTAGAACCGCCATTCTAGGGATTACTGCCTGCTTATCCGCGACGAAACAAACTATTTTAACATCATATGCTGCAGGAATGGAAAAACAAATAAAAATAAAAATTAGAGATAAAGATTACTATCTTCTGGGATGCGATGTAAGAACTTCAAATCCAACAAAATTTCAAATAATTCTGCCTAACAGGTGGGGTACCCGCAACGCTGTGTACTTCTATTCAGAAGGTGCTCGTTTCAAATCCCTACCAAGACACCGGCTATCCTGACTCAGACCGTTTGTGGTTTTCCTCCGTCCCTCCAAGAAAACGCTGGAGTAGTACCATAGCAACTTCCTTTCCAATTCATCATTCATGTACCATCCTACCAGGCGACGAGACACGATCTCGATACTGGAAGGGTCAATAAATAACCTACGAGACAGACAGGGACAGTTCGATAGTTCTGTACAAGGAGCTATAAAAAGAACTTTGGTCGAAATCAGTCCAGAAATATCGTTTTGAGGTAACAGAATATTGAATTTCTTATCGTCTAATTACCTTTAGCTCAGTAGGTATAACAATGGGCTACGGGCCGACGGCTGGGGTTCGTTTCCCGGCAAAAGCAAGATTGCTCTCTATCCATGCTATTCAGACTGGCTGTGGGTCCCATTCGCTCTCCCATACAATGGGTACCGAGGTTCTTCCCCTGAGGGTAAGCTGATCACTCACCTCCATCTATTACCGAGATCAAGAATGGTGGAAATAGACCTCTATCCCCCTATACGTCTTCAGGTGCTGTGCTTGAATAATTAAATATAGGTATGTCTTCACCTTTTACCTCGAAATTGTTAACACTTATATAAGCAACTGCATCTGGCAAAAATTGTGCATTTAAATTTTGTCTAGAATCTTTGTTCGAAATATTTGTTCGCTCTAATAATATTTAACAGAATTGCACTGAACAGGCGAGGAACAATAAGTGTAAAATGTCCGTTATTGTTGTCAGATTTTAACTAAAATTAGAAAACACCAACAAAGTTTAGTAAAACCTCCTAATGTGAAATATCAGGGCAATCTATTCATTGAGTGTTGAGTCCTTACAAGCAGACAGACTCACTCACTCACTCACTCACTCACTCACTCACTCACTCACTCACTCACTCACTTATGGAGCTGAGCCCTTCTCGAGAAACTGCCAACTGTACAGCTACTCAAAACTTACCAGCATTTTATGGAACCCGAAGGTTCATTAATGTGTTCACAAGAGCCCTCCACCAGTCCCTATCCTGAGCCAGGTCAATCCAATTCGTAGCATCCTATCCTATCTCTCTAAGATCCATTTTAATATTGTCCACCCACCTACGTCTTGGTGTTCCCAGTGGTCTCCTTCCTTCCTTCCTTCCGGCTTTCCCATCAATATCCTATATGCATTCCTCCTCTCCGCCATTCCTGCTACATGCCCTGCCCACCTCATCCTCCTTGACTTGATCATTCTAATTATACAGTACTTGGAGAAGAGCACACGCAGACAGACGGATGGGCAAGTAGACACGATTAACGTAATAGAAGCATTTTCGTTGCTGACATTCGAAATATTACATTTCAATTGAATTATACACAATTTGTGGAAGGTTCTCTACATCACATAACTCAGTCTGTACGGCGACTAGGCCAAAGTCTGTACGGCTGAGGAGTCGGGGTTCAATTCCCGGTAAGGAAAGAAATTTTCTTCATAACGTCAGGATCGGCTCTGGAGCCCACCCAGCCTCCTATACAATGTGTGCCGAAGGATACTTCTCCGAGGTTAAAGCGACACAAGCGTGAAGCTGATCACTCGCCTCTATCTAGCGCCGAGGTTAAGGATGACGGAGCTTTATCTCCAATCCCCAATACGTCTTCATTGCATGAGATATGTGCCATGTTATCTTGTTATCTAATTTTGTTATTAAACGTCTCTCTTAGCATTAAGACTGTAAGGCGTTAATCATATGGTGATTAATGCATACGGAGCAATTGATTGAATGAGAAATGACAGGGGAAACTCAAAGAAAATGTATCCCAACGCCATCTTGTGCGCCATAAATCCCATATGATCTGAACTGGCACCGCCTGAGCTATGACATGGCCGCCATGTTATGATTTATAAGGAAGTTCCTGAGGTGTTTGGCAGTATTATGAAAGGAAGTGTATAGTTCCCCTCAGAAGCCAATGAAAGTGACGTGTGCCACTCTTCCATCAATCGTGTTAACAGGGTCCCGAAATGTTTGACGAAACAGTTGTTGAGATGAGCAATATGTTTTAATTGCATCTGCTGCCATCTCTGCTTTCTAACTTTTTACGCGCCTCTCCCATCTATGCCCGCAAGCTTGCAGCTCCCAGCAACTCAGTTTCTCAGTGATTGTGCCAACAGCAAGAGCCTGATCTCAGCGCGCCAAAAGGTGAATTTCAAAACCTACTCCCCGATGCATGCAACACTGTTACGTACGGGAACTTAGCAAAGCGAGCGATATTTGGTTCATTTTGGATAACAAACTCTCTATACATTTAAAACAGTATGTCAGTACTCGGAAAAGTGTGTGAGTAGGTTTGATTTTATGTTCAGTTAACGTAAAACCTACAAAATTGAAGTGAAAAGTCTGCATTGAAATTTATTTCTAATAATTTTAGGAAAGAATAACAAGTAGCTGTAACTCATTAATATTAATAAATTAAATTCTTGAAACACTAAGAAAAAGGCCAGTGTAAATCAACGGTAGAGTGACGATATACATAGGGAAATCCTCTTTGATGTAGGCTGGTTCCAGCGAAGGCCCTTCCTTATTAGTAGGAATACAAATAGAATTGAGCTGTTTATAAGAAGTGGCAAAATTTTGAGGTAGTGGTTCTGTCGTATATATACAGTCCCCGTGGGGTTGTTGTTATCGTGCTGTAGCCGGTTTGTCTGAACAGCTACAGGACAACAACACCACCACATATATACTATGTACATAGTATATATATATATACTATGTGTATATACTATACACAACATCAAATTTGAATATCCAATTCCACGTATAAACAACCTGAAAGTGATACCCAGGGGTAACGAGTGTAGCCTTCACACGATAATAGCAAGGTCCAAACCCAGCAGGACTCAGGTTCACAAGAAAGTTAGCCCACATCACAACTATCACTACCACAGTGGAACAACCAAGCAACACATATATGGATATATATAGCGGTCACAAAGTCTTAAATAAGTCAGAAATAAATTCTGGGTAGGGTGTGCTCCTTAAGTTTTGATGGCTTCTTACATCAATTGATAAGTACCTTTGAACGAAGGGCGCAACCTGGGGTTTGCAAACCATCTTTGTCAAGTATCAGCATAAAGCATATTGCAGATATTCAATCCTGGTAGCAGTGCTTCTATGACATGATAAAATTGAGGGCGAAATAGGAATCACACCTTGAAAAGAGCCCAAGAAGTGGTTCTGAACTCCACGTAACTTTCTTATAATTCATGAATTATTATTATTATTTATTTTAAATAGACGTATACTATTGGTGGGAAAGCTAGAAGGAAAGAGACCACTAAGAAGACCAAAGCATAGGTGGGTGGGCAATATTAAAATCGATCTTAGAGAGATAAGTTGGGATGGTACGGATTGGATTGACCTGGCCCAGGATAGGGACCAGTGGATTGCTCTTGTGAACACGGCAATGAACCTTCGGTTTCCATAAAATGCTAGGAAGTTCTTGAGTAACTGCACAATTGGTGGCTCTTCAAGAAGGTCTCAGTTCAATGAGTAAGTAAGTGAGTGATTATAGGGGACATAAAAACAACAGGGATATTCTAATAAAACAGGGAGTATATAAGCCGCATGTCTGCTTGATAATCATGTATACACAGTGGCAGTGTCATGTGTGTGGCTAGTAAATAAGTCTTGGTTGTCAAGCCATAATTTGCAAAGGGGTAAGGTGATCTTCCTACATTGTCGTCCTGATCACAACTACTCATGCAGACCTGCGATATCCTTGCCTACTGCTCCTAACCCCTGGACACCGCGTAAAGCCGTCAGTTCCTACTCCTGGTTGTCTCAGCTCACGGTTTATACCCCTGACACTAAAGGAATTATTGCTCTAAGATTTGCCTGGGTCACTTATGAATGAACCACCCTTGACATATCACGGCGACCCAAAATCGACCCTTAGAAGAAGAGAACAGCGTAGGCGAGAAGGTGCGACAAGCGACAGCATTACGGGTGCGCTTGTATCTTACTGACGAATTCTCAGTTTCGTATAGCGACTCGTACTGACGTAAGCTGACATTTTCTGAGCCAGGAGCTGCTGGTCAGTGCCACTCGATGCACAGGAATGTAAACAAGGGATATGTTTACCATTTCGCCCAATTTTATGCCCGTCTTCTTGAAGTTGTTTATATATAATTTCTATGTGTCACTGTTAGATGCACCATGTCAGTATTGCGAACGACATATTTCCAGTGTTTGCAAGTATTTTGGCTGCGTGTGAAATTATCTCCCGTGCCCTTTGTTGAGGCTTCGCGCACTCACTGAGGGTCGATGAACCTCCCGTTCAAAACCGTAAAAAGTAAAAAATTGAAGTAAAGATATCCCTGTAACAGACCGTGGAGTCCCATAGAGTTGTGAGACGTCGAGGCTTCCACATTTTCTAGACAATCGGCTCACAGATGGCAGTGAGGTTGTCAGCCTAACGCGCCGGCCACCCTTTGTCCCCCGGAATATTCCTTGTACTCAGTTCTGTTAGAGGCCGAGTCGACCCCAGGGCCATAGTGTGCCTGGAAGGATTAGGTAAAACCATCGCTATAGTAAACTGTAGAACTGCGGAAATCAATCAGACAATTTCAACAATATCAATCGAGATACATTTACTCTGATAGCAGTCCACACGAAGAATGTGAGCATATCGCGTGAGGTTAGCTTACGCAAGCTGAGGACGCGGAAAGAACAGGGCTTCCGTCTAGTGCCGACGTTAAGAACGGCGGAGCTAAAATATCCCTCCAAGGTGAGGTGACTGCGAACAGAACATGATTATAAATAGGGGTGGACACCAGAACAAGCCCTATATTTAGTTCCAGAACTTCTCATTTTGAGGCACCTCTGTTAAATGCCTCAAGATGCCATTAGTACCATTCCCAACAGGTACACAAGCGGTAACAAGTTCACGAACTTACACTGTAATATGTGTTGGTTATTCCTCCGTACTTTTGTATTGACCTGCAATGACTGCTAAATCGGAGCCTCTACCTGGTCCTGTGAAGTCATCTCCACGCCTTAGCGTGAAGACAAATTTACCTCTTACTTTCCGTCTGCTGTGGGAACGAGGGTGCGTCATCGTCAGTTAGTGACTTAGGCTGTTCTTCCGTAAAGTTGCGAACACAAAGCATGACGTACCTTGGTTCGCAGAGTGGACAGACTTATCCATGCATAAGGGCGTATGTTTAGTGAAACACTTCCGACTCTATTAAACAAAGAACGGACCATAATCTCCCAGTAACGATTATTTCAGAATTTTGTAATGAAGGTAATTTATGCCGTCAGTGATGATGTCAGTACCATGGATAGGAAGTGAGAGATTCTGGGATCGAGTCTCTGCAACGTTTACTGTACCAGTGTTCTGCTACCTTGTACAGGCTGGAGGTCTCCTCCCGCCGTCATGTCGCGACAGGCTTTGTTGCTGGTTCTTCTAGTCGTCGTCCTGGGCGCTCAAGCTCGGTCGCAACAGAACGGGAAGCGGAAGTCCGGCAGGAGGGCGGTACTCGCGCAGCAGCCATCGGCAGGCGCAGACGCCGACAACACTGACATCTATAATGAATATTACGAAGAATACGATGGATACGACGATTATGAGAATGGAGGTTGGTACTAGTGTTACTGTTGTTAAAATATGAGAACTGGCTTGCTTAGTTCATCTACTTTACGAAGCAGGGCATCTTGTACCTTGTGAACTAACTTCCTGTGTAGGTATGTCTCAATTTCGTACTGGCATTATAGGCCTAATATCGAATGTACGAGTATGTTGAAAATAGAATCTAGTAACTTTCCGCTATGATGACATAACGGTTTACATCACTAACTGAAAATGACGCACTTTCGCTCCCATAGCAGAGGGAATATAAGTGTGGCAAGTGTTGTTGTACTAAGAGAATTCCTCCAGGAAGTTCTCCTGATTACAGTATTAGTTTAGAAACTTAGGTCTGCAGTACGTGTTTAAAAACTAAACTGAAGAAAAAGAGTAAATTTTCTTTGAAAATTTAAGATTTGAGGTTTTTACGGTGGTGACTATGAAGAATGCCGACTTCTGGGATGTGACGCCGAGTAGGTCTTGTGTAAACCAACGTTTCGGAGGAATGTATCTCCTCCATCTTCAGGGTATAAAATCCGCGAGCGAGGAACCTGCACACGCTCAGCCGCTCTGTTGATATCCTCATAATTGTTCAACAAATATGAGTAACTCTGAAGCGTTACTTGACGCCAGAATTAGTTTCGTAGTCCCGCAAAGTGAAGTGCAATAGTAATCTCAAAGAGCAACCCTTGTGCTTACCCTAAAATTTTGGATTTCTTTTGGTTTAAAATCCAAATTTAACAACAATAGCTAAGTGTTAATCGTCATGTGATGTCACATTGATGTAATTTTGTAGAAACTAATATTTGTGGCTCGCAAGTTTCTTTTAATCATAACATTTATTTTATCCTTGTATATGTTATTTCATAAGACCAAGGCGTATGGGGGGTGGACAATATTAAAATGGATCTTAGAGAGATAGGATGGGATGGATTGGATTGATCTGGCTCAGGATAGGGACCAGTGGAGGGCTCTTGTGAATACGGGAATGAACCTTCGGGTTCCGTAAAATACTGGGAAGTATGTTATTTCAACTTCCTTCCCTCCACCCTCCAAAACAGACCGTCCTAAAAGTCGTTTTACCAAGATTATACTCACGTTTCAGGGAAAAATTATTTCATTTACAACCAAATGCAAATCGAGTGAATGCACCAATACTACAGCAGCTAGAAACACGCGCTAATGTAATCACCTTTACTCTTAACAATGAACACATTATCTCAGACTGGATTCAAGATCCAGAGCATTTCGCTTACGAGTGTAATGCGATCTGTTGGCCACCCTGTATGAATGTGCGACGTTTCGAGGATGACTGACCAACAATATTGAGACTGATAAACATATGTGCTAAAATATTGGAATTACTCAAACACGTTCCAATTTACTCATTAAATCGGATAATTTATTTCACTGTTGCAGGCAGGACCACTACGCCGCCACCTGCGGTCACGCCTCCCACGCCACCACCTTCGCCACCAGCACCTCCACCTTCTCCACCAGCACCACCACCACCTGCGCCACCTCGACCTAGAATTCCAGGTACGTCAAGACACCAAGTGTGACGCATGTCTGTATCACCAGTACCACAAATCCCACAACGCCTTCAATGGGCGGGCCAGCTCAGCGTTAATGCCAATACTTGTAGTGAGAAGGTATCGAGTTCGAATCTTAGCTCTGGATGCTATACTGATGATGATTTCTTACGGTTTTCCTGACGTTGGTCACGTAAGCTTGCTCTATCAGCGTCGTGCAAACAAGCATTCTCAGTCTGCTTCAAATGTGTTACAAATCAACAGTCTTAGTTAAGAGACTGAGCACTGTCACTCTCTTTCATTCACAGTACAGCCCCTGCCGCCAGTGCCGACGCAACCCCCTACACTGCCCACATCTGCACCAACCCCGGCACCCAGCCCTGTGCAGCGTCCAGATAGTGCATCAAGGGTCTCTCCTGACACCAGAGGTCAGTACTGCCATCTGTTGGTGTATATTTGCATGCCTCCTCTTCGAGCTTGCATTTGCTTAACACTGTGCAGTGATTCCATTGGGGATGAGACACGGGACTGATAAACGTTGCTGAGCAGCGGTTCTAATAACTGAGAGTAAAGGAATGGCTCCACAAGCGACATCCGTTCGTGTGGACCCCTTACGTTCTGCTGGAACATTAGGCCGTTTCATATCGCAGCGATTAATATTCAGAGCATCAAGGTATGATAGAAAGATGTTGCTGGTTTTTGGGAACATCCATATGGGATATCGGAATGGCTAATTATTCACATTCGAAGTTTATAAATGTTCACGGATAACTGTATTGACTTTCAAACTAAACTCAAATCTGTGGCCTGTAGTCCGCAAGCGAACTATACCTACCGAGCGACCACCGCTTGACAGCGAAGTTAGTGCCAACTTTTGCTGATAGAGGGTGTCGCGTGGCCAGCGAAAAGGATTCCCACAGCCGTTAATCTCGGTTTTCAGACCGGAACCGCTACTTTTCCATTCAAGTAGCTTCTCAATTATCCTCACGAGGCTGAGGAAGGAGGAACTGAGGAAAAACACGAAAAGTAAGTTAGAATATGCAGTGTACAGGCCGGTATTTGAATTTAGCACATCTCAGACACGATCCAGTAGCGTAACCGTCATGGCATTCTGCTCGGTATTTGTTCTTCTGTTTACACAGTGACGTTCTGCTGCAGGAATCATTTCAATATGACATGTTAACCTGTTCTAGTGCCTTTCAGATTCGCCACTGAGGGCCTTCAGTGTGTTCGTTTGTATACCTGTACGGATGTAACAATTCTGGATTTGTTTGCATGATTCTTCTTTCTATTTTCTACATTATTTATCCCTTTGACTGCCAAACACTACCACAGAATTACCTTGGTGGCAAATGCAGTTGGACCGAAAAAATACCCACAATATTATTTTAAAATTGAATTCATTTTAAAATTACCATCAAACAGGAGGAGGTACAGTCAAATTAAAGCCCGTTCTTTCCTCTAAACATTAGCAGACATATGGTGCCATCTACTGGCAGAAATACTGTATTAACTAACGTTCCGGTTTCTTCGCCCGTGGTGGTATTAATGCATGTACCGAGAGTCGATCTAGTCTTTACGTGGCGCGCATTATAGATCAGATTGGCTGAGCCATGCTTTAAAACAAACCTCGACATATATCCGTAAGATCAAAATATTTTTCTGACGAAGAGTCTGAGTTAGTAACAAGATAATATCACTAGTTATGTGCACCGTGAGACTCATCATTTTCAACAAGAAATGTTTTAATAAAATTCACATTAATTCAATATTACTTAATATTCGTGATAAATTTCTAATTCTGACTTAAGGAGGCAATTTATTTCTCCTGAAGAACTCAACAATCAGTAAACTTTGCGGGATTTGGGATTCCCAGTGCTGTGACCATGAAGAGTTGTGGGATTTGATGCTGTGTAGTCTGGTAGCTTTCAGACGTTTTGGAGGAACATACCTCCTCCGTCTGTAGAGTAAACGACTAACCCAAGCGAACAAGGGGCTAGAAGGAAGCAACACGCTTGCTCATTGCTTTAAAACTTTAAACTTTAGTTACAAGCTTACCGCTTTAATCTTGCTGGTTATTTGTTTAGTGTTTCCTTCCTGCTAGTTGCATGCTTACCTTACTCTTCGAACCTACATATGGAGGTACGACGTTCCTCCGAAACATCAATAAGTTTCTACCAGACTACACGGCATTACATTCCGGAAGAAACTATCTTCTTCCACAAAATGTAGGTGTATTGGCCGCGTGTAGACAGAAGGCTATCATGATGGAGTCTAGAAGCTTGGCTTGGCTTTGCTTGTATTTTTCTTGCAGAGGCGGGCGGGTGCACATTCGAGGGTTTGCCGCGCAAGGACGGGGAAACGTGGAGACCGGATGCTTGCACGTCGTGCCACTGTGAACAGGGCCGCGTCGAATGCTCGCAGCTGGGATCCTGCTCGTCAGGTCGGGGAAATTTGTGATAATTAGGGAAATTTACTAATAATTTGAGAAAATTACTAATTGTAACATTCACTAACGACATGGGAATGCTGTGATTTATTGGTCAAGTAGGGAATTTTTCGTATAACAAAGAAAATGAATGCAGAGAATAATATTGGTAGTTACTATAGGATTCTGACGATGGTGTATAACACACTGATATGTTGGGATTTTGGACTTTATCCATCGTCCTGGTTTTTAAGATAACAAATAAAAACACGACGTTTCGGAAACTGGATCTGTTTCCGTCCTCAGGTGAAGGAAAACACCTATTCAGTTGGGTCCAGTGATTGAGGCTAGCTCTTTCTAAGGGACCCAACTGAATAGGTGTTTTCCTTCACCTGAGGACGGAAACAGATCCGGTTTCCGAAACGTCGTGTTTTTATTTGTTATCTTAAAAACCAGGACGATGGATAAAGTCCAAAATCTCAACATATCAGTGAATAATATTGGTGTTTGTTAAGGGAGATAGTTTCCGAAACTGATTTTTTATGTTCATTTCTCGGACATATCTTGCGCGTTTTGATTTATATGTATTTGTGTATATACATGTATGTTACGAATCCCACCGTATGTACAAGCTCAATTTCTGTATGACAGGAACAAAAACTCACTAACAGGCCTACAGTCGGTTGTTGCTGCGTGTGTATTTCTTAGTTGCTTATTTGACGACTCGGCAATTGTGCCAGATGATACGTGCACATAGCGGCGAAAGTTAAGATAAGCGATGAATAATGAATTGGATGTGATGTGGAAGGAAGCTGTTCTGGTTTGACTGACTCCTACCCCAACTTTTACCTAGATGGATGAGGAAAACCAAGAAGGAACTAAGTCAAGATAGACGCTGTCCCAGGTGATATTCGAACCCAGCACCATTTGAATAAAGTCTAGATAGTTACCTCTGGATGAACCTGCTTGATTTTATGGAAATCACCGCTGTTTGAAGACGTATATCTTCTGGGATATAACGCCGTGTAGTCCGGCGAAAATCGGCGGACGTTTCGGATAAACATACCGCCTACGTATTCAGGAACGAACAGTAAGCAAAGGAAAAGGCATGTTACTTGGTTCATGCTTGTTTTTTGTTCTTACTCCTCGACCCTGGAGATGAAGGTGGTAATATTCTCCGAAACGTCTGTTGTCTTTCACAGGACTACATGGCGCTGCAAGCCGGTCATAGTAGCCGCGCGGTCTAAGGCATGAACTGTCTTCACTCGCTCAGAAGCTGCGATCGTGGGTTCGAATACCACTTAAAATATGGATGTTTGGTGTGGTGCGTTTATTCTGTGTTTTTGTTGTCCTGTGTTTATGTAGAGGCCTTGAGGCGAGCTGATCACTCGTCCAGGGAGTCCCACCGTCTGTGAAAAAAATAATTAAGGAACTGAATAAGGAACCAGGGTCCTGAATGGGCTGGTAGAGCTATTGAAGAAAAACATGGTGCTGTAAATCAGAAAATTGTATTCTTCGTAGTCAGAGGTGTGAGAATTTAAAATCCAGCAATGGCTGTTTATTCTGTGAGTCATACAGAGCTTATGAACACTCACTGTGGGCAAAACGAAGAGATTTGAAAGATAAAGCAAGTGGTACATATAGTAGTACCTGCAGCGCTCTAAACGATTTGCGGTAGAGGCAATAAGGAGAGCTATGGCTGAAGACAATGCTTCTTTCCAGAGTCAGAAGTTAGTATATGTTTATCCTGCAATCTCGCTGCTGTGTGTTTACGCTGCGGTCGGGGTCACTCTTTCTCTTGCTCACAGATGTCACCCGATGTCAATGGCACATCCAACTTCAAGTAGAAATGATAACGAGTGTCGTGCAAGACAGGTTTAAGTATAACTGTCTGTGCAGCCACTGATGAATCATCTCACTGCAATACAAATGCCACGTGCCCAGTCCTCGGGCTGCATCTCGTAGTAGGCCATGGCCTAGAAACACAAATTATATGAAGAATCGACGCCGTGAAAATTTCATATTCGAAAATAATTATATTTCTGATACACAGTTTTATGAAAAAACTGGGGTATATGAGTTTTGAGGGATGGGTCTTGTGGTGTACGTGATTCTGTAAAGAAATGGTACCGAACAGTTTAGCATAGCGGTATCGGTCTAGAATTGTATTCGGGATGTACTTGGTTCGAATCTCGGACGGGACACCGACTATGCTGACAGAAGTTTTCGTGGTTTTCGTTAATTCCTCAAGGCAAATGCCGATATAGCACCGCGATAAATCCATGTGTGATTCCTTCCAAATCCTTTGCAAGTCATCATTCATCAGTCATCCTATCATTTGACGCTGTGCAGTCTGAGATACTGATTACATTGTTAAATCAATCACAAACTCAAAAAGCAATGAAATGGCTTTAAAAGGAGGAATTATTCAGTGAATGCTTCAGTAAAATTCTAAGAAATGCGCAACACTAATGGTTTACTGATATGCTGATAAATGGTTGAAGCTGCAAACCTACGGTTCGCGTACCGAAACTGGCCTTTGAGGAGCATTACACAGGCCCGCATTAAACCGATTATAATACGAACATTTTTTCAAATACTGTTTCTCGGAAAAGACTAGCCTCGTTGTTTTCAGACCACTAAAATATATTAATTAATATGCAGTCTCAACTGGCACAAAAGTAGGAATGTTTTCTGGAAGTTGACCATCTCCTTAAGTTGGCCGGATTTGAATGGAATCACACATGGCAAACAGGTTCCATCAGCTGACGCGTTCGCTTATGTTGCAGTCATATAAATACATTACTGTGTGTGTTAAAACACATAAACATGCTCACAGCGAGAGAATTTATGTTCTACTTAAGTTAGTAGGAACAGTAAACATATTGTCACGTGTAAGGGTGACTTATAAGACCGGTTTTATATTGGATTAATCGATTTGCTGCATCTTATACATTCACAACTCAGGGCTACAAGGCAATACAGCCCTATCTCTGTTCTACGCACTTTCCAGTTCACCGTTACACACGCACTAGAGTTTTCAGTCTTCACTAGTCGTATCCTGGTAACGGATTTATAACAGTCTCCCTGTCACTTCAAATCACACATGAAGTCTTCTTTTCACGGTCTACATAGTTTATTTTTGGCATTATTCTGCATTTTCCAGTTCCGAAGACTCAATTCTTCGCTTCTCCACTACTGTTCTCTATTCCTGTTCTGTCCTTTCATAACTCCTCGGAACGGATCACACAGATAGCCTATATTGCTGACGAGGCATGTTTACCGTACCGTTGCCTAGCAACAGACGTCCTATTGTCGAGCACATTGGCTTCGCGGGAATATGTTTACCGAATCGTTGCCTAGCAATGGATATACATATCACAATATGTAGTTTTGTTCATGGGAGGTCATACAATCCACTTGGCTATAAATGTTGCAACAGTACTTTCTTACGACTAAAAACTACAGCATGGCGACGCCGCAACACTTGATGTCGGTTTGGTTTCGCCAGCCTGGGTGTGGACGTGTGTCTGTGTTGCTCTCACCCACATCGTGTGAAACGCGCGATCCACGCCACTGACTAGGGCATATGGAGCGGAAACTCGCGGTCATGACCTCAACTTGAGCATCAATAAGTTGGCCAATTAATATGGCGGCCCTCAAGGTCACAAGATTTGTTTACACTCTACAATATTGCTGCAAGAATTTGAGGAATGCGTAGAATTCAAACTAGACGGTTCATATCGGAGACATAATATCCGCCACTGTTCCGATAAACTGACCATTCTCGTGTTCCACCATTCATGCTCACTACCGACCGAGCACTCTGGCTCAGACGGCAATTCTTGTCAGTAGTGAAGAGCACTGACTTGTGTGATGGGGCACCATGTAGTCTGATGGAAGTGAACCTATATTTCGAAGGAACGTGTTGCCACCAGCCTCAGGTTTAAATATATTGTAACGTGTTACAATAAATTAAACAACTAGACAAGAAGCAAGCAGACAGCTGCAAGATGGGAGGCAGTAGCTTCCTGCAAGGGGAAACTTGGTGACCTTCTAGCAGACTATGTGGGGACACATCCCAGAAGGCAGAACTCTTTTCAGTGATAGGTATGAGCACTTCTAACTCCACCTTTAGATTTGCATTCCAGAGTTATACACAACTGTGCGGTGGTGGTCAAGCTTATAACCGTTCAAGTGACTTAAGACTGCCGTTGTAGCAGAAGCTACTAGAAATAAGGCATAATTTGCTGTACTGAGCCTGGACAGAAAGAGGCCCTGTATATATTTTATATATATTGTTTAACATAGACAGACAATGACTCTGACAAAAGACAGACCCGTCCTCTTGTCAGAGGGGGTGCCCCACAAAAACAAGACTGAAACTGCCAAACAGTAATAAATATCTGGTCATTAGCCCCAGATGGGACTTGACAACAAGACTTACTGACTGCCTGACCATCAGTTGCAATGTGACTTTGACTATAAAGCCAGAAGTGCAGAAGTGAATTCGGAAGAAGAACCAGAATATGAGAGAATACAGAAAGTGTGTGAAATGTTATAATTGAGTATAATTGTGTTGCAGGCATCAAATAAACCTAATCATCAAATCTAGAATCCACAAATATTAGTCACGTGTACCCACCTATGCGTGACAATACAAACAGTTTATTATTACAGTCATCAACAATTAAGTTAGAACTTAATCCAGATTATAGCAATTTATTGCTTTTATCTAGCTTTTTCAATTGAATTGAACTCATTTTGTGGCTGTTGTAATGGTGATGGGTTGAACACGACTGTTTCTTGCACAGGAACAGACTGTGAGGGGGTGGTGTGTACGGAGCTAGAATGTCCTTCCCTACAATATATACCACTCGGACAGTGCTGTCCCGTCTGTGCAGGTGAGCAAACTAACTTCATTACATTGAAGGCACGCACTTACAATACTTTCTTCTCTCTTCAGAGGTAGGGTCTCTATTAAAGAAATGACACAAGTGCATCCTTAGTAATTTAAGGGATAAAACAGAATTACATCTGTGGGTGAACAAAACCAAGTATTAAGAATACAGTTTATTAAAATATAGTCTTTTACAATGAACACTCAAGGGCGGCAGAAAAAATAATGTTCAATGTCTTAAACCGAAGTTTTTAAACAAAAGTTTCTGGCTACCCAGAACCAGAAAATACAAACACTACTATTACTATTACTGGTACTACTACCACCATATTATTACCATATTACTACATCACTACACATGACACTATATATACTACAGCATACACATGTTTTATGTATACATGCTTTACAATTTTATAATTGTCACACCTTTAGAACAATTTTTAAAACCTTGTAATTATGACACCAAAAATGAATCCATTTTGGATTACATACTCAGCAATATAGTGCATTATATTTATGATTATCCACGTGTTGAGTGATGGTATAAAAACCCCTAAATCTATGTACTAGTACACAACAAGATGCAAAACAAAGTAAATGACTTAAAGTGAGTAGTTTTGTGATATACCCATCTCATACGTATGAGTGCAGCTAACAAATTTATTTCTTTTGGCTTGTTTTGGACTTCATCCATCGTCTGGTATGTAAAAGACAAAAGACCACGACGTTTCGGAGACTGGATCTGTCTCCATCTTCAGGTGGGTGGAGAAGGATGAACCTACTCAGTTGGGCCTGTTAGAAACAGCCAGTCTCAATCACTGGACCCTACCCACCTGAAGACAGAGACACTTCCAGTCTCCGAAACGTCGTGGTCTTTAGTCTTTTACATACCAGATGATGGATGAAGTCCAAAACAAGCCAAAAGAAGTACAGTATACACCATCGTCAGAATCCTTTCAAGTCTAACAAATTTATTCTTTGAATATATTTGAACTCTAGTCCTTGTGAGTCCGTGTTGTAAACAGTAAACAAGCAAGCACTCACATCTTATTTCCACCCTGTTTTCATTCTCAGATGAAGAGGTGGAGCCCGAACCTCCATCCCATACAGTACTACCGGTAAGTCAGATTTTTCTTCTTTCCTTGCTTCGTTATGGCTCATTTAGCAGTACAGTATCTGACTGTAGTCATGTAGCATGAAATGGTAGGATGAGTGAAAAATGACATGAAAGGAATGTGGAAAGAGGCAGTTGGGTCTCATTAGTAATACTATCCTGGCATTGCCTGGCAGGACTAAAGACAATCATAAAACATTCAGCCAGGATGCTTGGTGACCCAACAGACTTTCAAGCTGGCCACTCCCAGAATGTAAGTTTGAAGAATTGCTGCTTGAACCAGCTTGCTTGGTTTTCATTGTTTTTACCTGAATAAAACAGAAAAATATAATGTGTCTCATGAAATGAAGTGTCTTGATGTTGCTATATGTTGCAGGTTCGCCCAATCCCAGGACAGGGACCTGGCCCTGTGGAGACCACTAACACAGAGACCATTGGACTACCTGGCCCTAGGGTAAGTGTGAACGGGAAAACAACTTTATGACATGGCGAACGTTACTTGTGAGGTGGGAGTGCTAATGCTGAAAAGCAGTAATCGTAGTAACCAGAATAAGAACAGGAATGAATTTTAGAGCTTCAAGAAATGTACAACCACTCAAATTCTAGTTTATTTTTTCTAGAAGAGGAATATGTAATCTATACTTCATGCAGCTGAGAGTGCTACTAATGTTACTTTGGCATGGGGAAGGTTTATATTGTTAATGTTTTCATCAGAACTAGTTAAATGATTAGGTTAATTCAGAATGCCAAGGTACAAAGTATGCATGTGGAAACACTGTGCAATGTAGAATGGATTTCAGCTTTACAGCCTTGTTATGAGAGTTCACAATGACAGATAATGTAGGGCTTACCAAATAGCATATGAAATAAACCCTACAGGAACATGCAGCCCTTTCTTGTTGTTTTGGTCATGACACTGAAATGAAGCATTTGGGTTAACGTTGCTTTTGTTGGAGAAGTCATTGCTCTGATGTGAGGAAACATGATTTAATTTGCAGAGTCAATGTTGTGTTTATTTCAGGGTGATCAGGGTGCTCCTGGATCCCCAGGTCGACCAGGGGATGCTGGGTTTCCTGGATCACCTGGAACACCTGGAATTCCCGGAAGTCCTGGACCCCCTGGACTGGCACCTGATGTGAGTACTTCAGTGGTATAATTTGTAAGTTCCAAAATTTATTTTGTTATTAATTACTAAGGCCCTAATCTCATATGTTTTACTGCATCATGTTTTCTCATTTATTTTCTCAGTCCCATCATCAATTTCTCAGGCCTTACACATCATTAAATTTAAGGTCACATATATTACCATTATTTTTTGAGATGGCCTTAGAAGCTGTTAATTCTCTTAAGACATAATTTACTTCATGCAACCTGAGCACATATATTAATCTGCAATGTCTGAGACCTTTTATTGTGTAAGGTGTCAGATCTCATTAACTAATAAAGGCTTGTCATTGAGATTTTGTGACTTGTGGAAATGTACTGAACCATTTTCGCATGTCTCACGGTATTGTGTGAGATATACCTCTGAGATACTGTTGCTCTTTATTAAGGTGTCCAGCTACTACCACCAGCTGGCCCTGTCACAGGCTACAGGAGACAAAGGACCCACAGGACCTGGAGGATTCCCTCCAGACCCCTTCCAATATTTGCAAGCTCAAGTGGGGCCTGTAGGGCCCCGTGGACCTCCAGGTATTCAATGGACAAGATAGATTTATGGTGTCAGGGGGGTGGGGTGGAGGGAGCCAGCGATCTTCCCTTCCACTGGATCTTCAAAAAAAAATCAGAAAATAAATGGAAGGCAATATTTCCAAATTCTGATACCAAAATTAAAATTATTTTTAAAAATACATTTTCTGTTTTTTTAAGAATGTATTTTTAATATACAATTAGAATGATCAAACCAAGAAGAATGAGATGGCTGGGGCATGTAGCACATATGTAGGAGAAGAGGAATACATACAGGGTTTTTGTGGGAATTCCAGAAGGAAAGAGAGAACTAGGAAGATCTAGACATAGGTGGGGGACAATATTAAAATGGATTTTAGAGAAATTGGATGAAGTAGTATGGACTAGATTATCTGATTCAGGACAGAAACTTGTGGCTGGCTCTTGTGAGCATAATAATGAACCTTTGGCTTCCATAAAATGTTGGGAAATCTTTGAGTAGCTGAAAAAGTAGTGACATCTCTAGAAGGACTCAGTCCCTTGGAGTTAACGAGTTAGTTACTTAGTAAGTTAGTAAGTAAGAAGTATGTAAGTAAGTTAGTTAGTTATCCTATACTGAATACCCTAGAGGATCAGTTAAAATGTTTTTAAACTGCATAACAGTAAGTTTGAAAGCATATTTTCTGGCTGTTCCCTTCCATCCATGAAGGTGCTGCCTCCCTTGGATAATATCCTGGCAGTTCTCAACGCCAGTGGTCTCGTCATAACTGAATGCAAGAACTGGGAGGCACAATTTCTGCTCTGAGTAACAAAGTAGAAACTGCACAGTGGGACACAGCCCTGTTGGTATTTACTGAGAATAACAAAAATGCATGCTTATTTCAGTCACCATTTGGATTAAGGCTCACATGATTTACCATTCCATTTTTTGTTTAATTGCTAGTGGGTTGGGACTAAGTCCCTTGTACTGCGGCCACTTCTGGCCTATTGTACCAGCCCCAGATGATAGGTGAGGGTGATTGTGGAACAATTGTCGAATGAAGATTGGCAGGGGAAACCGAAGTACTCAGAGAAAACCTGCCCAAGCGCCACTTTGTCCACCACAAATCCCACTTGACCAGACCCGGGATTGAACCTGGGCCGCCACGGTGGGAAGCCAGTGACTAACCACTTGAGCTATGGCGCTTTCCACACACTATCAAATAATGTTTGTTTTTAAATCAAAACTGACATGGCTGATCACCTGAGAAGATTTTAGTGGATTTATTCATCATGGAAGCTTCAAATTGTACATAGGAGTTAACTTTGTTCAGTGAAGCGTTACATGAGCATGCCTTGCCAAGCAGCTAATTATAAGTTGCATATCTTACAGGGCCACCAGGTGCTGCAGGTCCACAAGGGTTCCAGGGAGTGCGGGGTGAGCCAGGGGAGCCAGGACCTCCAGGACAACCAGGATCACCAGGCCCCAGGGGGCTACCAGGTCTGCCTGGGAAAGATGTGAGTTCTTCTTCTGTTAAGCTCAACTTTTTGAAATTCTGATTACCACATTTCATAAACATAAGTTATATTGTAGGTAACAAAAGAGCAAACAGCCTTGTGTTTCATTGTATCATGTCTATTCTGTGAGTATTGATAATATTTTTATGTTACAGTTGTGTATGTTGTTCATGTGGTATGGTATTAAACATCGTTCAGTAAGTTGTAGGAGTTGACAGGAATATATGAGAAAGTAGCAGAAGTTAATAGTATGAAAGTTTATATAACAAATGTCAAGATTTCCCATTGAATTCTTGATGGGTGCTGCAGTAGCAAATTAATAATTATGCAATAGAATCATCCATTTATGAGCAAATTTTCTACCAGTAGGCCTGCACATTCAAGTACATTAATTTATTTTGACCTAACCAAAGTTTCACTGCGCTGTTATGTTTATGAGTTGAAACAACCAAAATTTTATGCAGAGAATTTGTAGCTATATTTATGCTGTATATTCATACAAAATCTTACATATGCAATTCAGTGGTTCAGCAATTGTCACCATCAAACAGAAAGCTAAATATAGACTTCACATGACTTTTGATTTGATTTGATTTATTATTACCTCAAGCAGTCCGTACAGGCAAGACAGTCACCATAGATATAGAAGCAGTCCATTTATATATATACTAAAATAAGATATAAAATGAAAAGTTAAAATATAACAAATAGATAAAATATGATATATGATAAAAGCAGCTGTAACTCACAACTTTGTCAACATACATACATACAACAAATGAACCATTTTCGAGTCACAACAATGATGTACAGATACAAAATATGGCCATAAGTACATGTTATCACAATTACATCAATATGAATTTCATTCAAAATAAACCTTAAATATAGATTTATAGACCATTCCAGGTATTCATTTATTGAATAGAAGGGTTCCCTTAAAAGGAAATTTTTAGTGACTAATCTAAATTTCTTAATATCAGTTGATTATTTTCTTATGTTCCATGGTAAATGATTAAATATTACAATACCCATATAACACACACCCTTTTTGTACTTGGTCAGCTTTACAGATGGTAAGTGTAAGTTGAAACTCTGTCGTGTATTTATAGTATACATTTCAGTATTAATCACAAATAGGTGCATATTTTTCACTACCAATAGCAATAAAGAGAATATATATTGGGAATAAAGAGGCAGTATATTTAAACGTTTAAAAAATCCCCGACAAGATGCTTTAGGATTTGCGTTCATAATAATTCTTATAATTCCTTTTTGAATTATAAAAATATTTCTACCATTTGCAGCATTTCCCCAAAAGGCAATTCCATATGTCATAATAGAATGAACATACGCATAATATACAATTTTTAAATCATTAATTGTTAGAAGTGATTTAACAGATCTAATAACAAAACAAGCAGAGTTTAATTTCTTACTCGTTTTGTTTATATGTCCTTGCCAAGATAACGTTGAATCCAGTGTCACTCCAAGAAAGTCAGTGCAATGGGTACTGTTTATTTGAGTATTTATATTCCTTATTGGGGAGTTATCAGTTTGACTCATTTTTGTTTTAAAATACATACAATATGTTTTATTAACATCCAAGGTCAAAGAATTAGCTTGAAACCAATGCATTATCTTCCCAAAGACAATATTAAAATTTTCTTTAAGCTGCCTATAATCAGGAGCAGTTAATATTAAGTTAATATCATCTGCGAATAAAGTAGGTTTTCATATGTCACTTATTAAAGCTGGTAAATCATTTATATACAATAAAAAAATAACGGTCCAAGGATCGATCCCTGCGGAACACCCAACTTAATCCATTTCCAATCAGAGAAATATTGTCCAGAATTTTTATCTTTTATTACTACTATTTGGTATCTATTATTCAGGTATGAGGTAATCAATTTAAAGAATATTCCTCGTATACCATAGAAATCCAACTTGGAAACAAAACCTCATGATTCACACTATAAAATGCTGTGGTCAGATCACAAAAAATACCCCCAACCAGTTTCCTATCATTCAATGCCTGTAATATATTATTAATTTAATTAAAAGTGGCAGTCTCAGTAGACAAGTTTTTCCTAAATCCATACTGTTCAACAGGTAAAATACTATTTAAAAGGACATGTGCATATAATCTATTGAAGACTTATTCTTTGTTGTTTTACATTCTCCAAAGGAGTCATTAACAAAGTTGATTATTACAAAAACATCAAATGCTCTTTCTTGCTGGTGTAGAAAAGAAGTTTTGGAAACATTTATTGCCTCCCTCTTCAACACAGCTTGAAGAACTCACTTCTTGTCATGAATCATGTCCATAGAATGCTGCCAATTTACATTCCTGGAAGACTTAGTTTAATATTCACCACCCATTTACAATTTATGTCTCTCAAGTGATGGCTTCCTTTGAGGTTTTAAACAAACTAACAATATCAATTTCTTACTTCTCAAATGCATGCTGCACCCTTACCCCTCTCAACCTTCCACTTATATTTTATCAGTAGCAAACAAATATAAAATAATGGTCCATAGAGTAAAGAAGTATTATTGTTGTGTTCTGACTTAGCCCTCATTTTGTGCTTAGGGAGAGACTGGTGATGATGGTGAGGCAGGACAACCAGGGTCTCAGGGCCCTCCCGGACCTAGAGGACTACCTGGCATGCCAGGACTGCCAGGGATCAAGGGACACCGTGGCTTTCCAGGCCTGGATGGGGCAAAGGGCGAGCAAGGGTCATCAGGGGAGAAGGGTGCACAGGGAAGTTCAGGGCCCATTGGTCCTGTCGGTCCCATGGTGAGTGTCACATTGCCAGTAAAATGAGTAGCAAGAAGCAAACAGACTTATGACAGGAAGGACTAAGAGCAGCAGGGAAATACTGTCAATAGCAATCACAAACAACAGAAAAATTACTTTGCCATCATGACAAATAAAAGCAGATATTGCCTTCCACTAATGGCAACAACCAAACAAGATGAGAAATTGTAACTGGCCACTGATACTATCAGAAATACTGAGAAAGAATAAGCAAATATTGCTTGTGTATTGTGGAAACATAAGAAAACATTGGCAATGACAATGGGAAACTGTAACTATACCTTGCTGGTATCAAGTAATCTAAACAGGCAAACAGCATATGCAAGTGCTGGGTCATGACTAACATCTTCTTTGCAGGGCCCAGCAGGCCCACGAGGAGAAAGGGGAAGAGAAGGACCTCCTGGACCACCTGGACTGCGTGGTATTGATGGCATTGCAGGGCCCCCAGGATCTCCGGTAAGAAAGTCAAATGAAGCATGTGACATGATGCAGCTCCCTGTTGACTCTCTCATTCATTCCCTGGACATATTTGCAGGGAGCGATCGGGAAGCCAGGCCCACCTGGGTTCCCTGGGAGTCCAGGCATCAAAGGTGACCAGGGTGCTCAGGGCCCTAAAGGGAGCCAGGGACTGCAGGGACCACGAGGTGAGTTGAGTGGATGTTCTAGTTAGAGAGGTCCTGTGTGTTTTGGCTTGGGTTGAATATTTGAATGTAATGAAGATGTGACACTGTGGCCGCATGATTGGTGACTATGGTGGACTGTCAATCAGTAGGGTAAACTGAAGTGAAACCTGTCTCTGTACTAATATGCACACATTCCATCCTAGGATTGAACCTGTATGTATCAACAGCAATAAGGAAAGCAGGCATTAAATGTTCTTCATAGAACCTCTTGTTTCTCACACTTCACTGATAAATATGACAGCTGTGTCTTCTTACAGTAAGATGACTATCTGCAAGAATGATGCACAGGGTTTCATATCCAGGCAGGGGCAGATAATTTTCTCATTAGCATCATGTCAAAAACTCTCTTGTGCCCACTTAAATGCTGCCTATCTTATAGGGTAAATGATCAGAGTGTTGACTGCTCGCTCCTTGCTAATGATGAGGTCCAGACACCTGTGGGGATCAGGTATATTTGCATCCTTGCCTTTACCATTTTCTCTAGTGTGGTGTCTTACTGGAGATGTTTCTTCACGTTGTCCTTATTGAGGCTGCCAAATTTGGTGTGGCCTGTACCCTGAAACCTCAATTCTTTGTAGGTGAGGCAGGAAGGCCAGGACAGCCTGGAGAGTCAGGTCCACAGGGACCAGCTGGCAAGGATGGACTTCCAGGAGAGAAGGGAAGCCCTGGAGCAATAGGTCTTGCAGGACCTCCAGGATTTCCAGGAGCTAGAGGACCTCCAGGCCTTTCTGGGAGCCCTGGATCACCTGGAGTGAAAGGGAGTCCAGTAAGTGATACATGAGATGTTTTGTATAGATATTTTCCCTTATTATGAACAAGTACATATAAATTAGCATTTATGTGCTGAGTTTTATTTTAAAATTAAAAATATATTCTGCTGTTCCTGTTTCCATATCAACTAATATTTCACAAGGGACACAACAATCAAAAACAAGAGAAAAGATTACATTATTCACAGACAATTTCAAACAATAAGATATTTAGAACAAGGAAAATATTTGGACTGAAGAGGGATAAAGTAACAGGAGGTTGGAGAAAACTGCATAATAAGGAGCTTCATAACTTGTACTCTTCTCCAAGTATAATTAGAATGCTCAAATCAAGGAGGATGAGATTGACCGGGCATGTGGGAGAAGAGGAATGTATATAGGACACTGGTGGGAGAGCTTGAAGGAAAAAGACCACAAGGAAGACCAGTATATAAGTGGGTGAATAGTAATAAAGGGATTGTAGAGAGATAGAATGGGTGATGTGGATTGGATTGATTTGGCTTAGGATAGAAACCATTGGAGGGCTCATGTGAACACGGTAATGAACCTTTGAGTTCCCTTAGATGATGAGAAATTCATGAGTAGCTGCAGAATTGGCAGTTGCTCAAGAAGGGCTCAGCTCTGTGAAATTAGTTAGTTTATGTATATATAAGTGCTGAAACATGTTGGCTATCTTGTGGAAACTGATGCAAGAATGTATGATGTGTAATTGAAAATTTATACATTTTTAAGAAAAGAGAAAATGGGCTAAGTTGTTTGTTATGCTAATTGAGGGGCTTATAACAGTGACCTGTCTTCATTCCACAATGTGATTGTTTCTTGCAGGGAATACCAGGAGAACGTGGCTTCAAGGGCGAGTCAGGCATGAAGGGGGAGACAGGAGCTCCAGGGCCCCGTGGACTTCCAGGTGCTGTAGGGGCAGAGGGCAAAAGAGGAAAGAGAGGGCTGCGAGGACCCACTGGGTCTGCGGGTCCACCTGGAGAGCGTGGAGCACCAGGGGGTAGAGGCCTGCCAGGGCCTGATGGAGCACCTGGACCTAAAGGTAAGAGGCAGGGATTTATATTATCACGTATTTATGGCTACATGACTGATAATAGTGGAGTTTGGATTGGATGCTTGGATTTATTAACTCCTTCTTTTACAGTCTCTTTTAATCACATTCAATTATAGCGCTATCGCTAACCTACCACTTCACAAATCACTCTTTAGCCAAACCCTTCTTTCTTGACTGCTGAGGACTCACTCAATTCATGTTTTTGTTCTACAACTCTTTTCTGATTCATGACTGGACTACTAATCTGGTCTTGAGATGGACCCATAGATAACACATCTTATATTGTTGACAAAGCCTGTTTACTATGCTGTTGCCTAGCATTGGAATGGTGCAGACCACATAGAAAACACTTCTTTCAATACCTCTTCCATTGTTGTGTGCACATATTTCAAACATTGCCTAGAAATGAGTCTACATGTCACAATATGTTACCATGCAGGCAGGCCTGGCAAGAAGGCGAGTGCCTGCTGATACCAAATGTGACAATAGGTTCACTGCAGTGGTTTGGCTGCTCTTGCAGCCATCAGTGTGTGTGGTCATAGCTGAGTTCACTTGTTTGTATGTTGCAGGTCAGTCTGGGGACAGGGGTCCTATTGGGCCTCAAGGAGTGAAAGGCTCTCAGGGGGACCCTGGCAGACCAGGACCACCAGGACTGCAGGTGTGTGGTATGAAAAATACAGGAACGATGCAAGGAATCACAGAGACACTACAGAGGTCACAGTTTAAGAGCACACAAGATTTTGTTTTGCATCCATGGCCAGATGTGAAAATGATTTTGGGGAATGCAGCCCACACAAGTCAATGTGCATGGCCGGATATACACGAAAATTTTGAATGTTTTCTAAATGGGCTATGTTCTCACAGTCACTCACAGTCAGACATATTGTGCTTCATTTTATTTGGCTTATTTTTCTCAGAATATCATACCAACGGTCTGCTCCATATATATGTCTCCTTCCAGTTCACTAGACTACTGGGACAGTTTATTTTAAAATGGAAAATTTCATGGACAGTTATATTTTGATAAGTGTGTGGACTTGGGTAGAAATTAGGAAAATTTCTGGGACACCTTTTGAGTTGTGCATGAAATATATGGAATTTCCCATTCTAGAATTTTCCACAATTTAGAGGATGGTCCTTTCACTTTATTCTTTCCTTTTGTCTACAACATAGAAACACAGATAAACAGACTGTATGTCTAAAATCCACCTCTGTCTGCATGGAATGTGCTCACTCTTGTGACTGGACGTGAACTGCATGCGAACTTAGGAAATTCACCCATGTGAACGCCATATCGCTTCACCCTATGTCCGTGATTTTCCTTTTGTGAGCAGACAGCAAAGAAACACTCATGTGGCCCATAACCATAGTACAGACTCTGTGAGATTGTCTGTAAACTTAAGATTTGCCCTCCTTATCCATGTCACTGCTTTGTATGTTGGCCCCAGCAACAAAGGGAGGATACTACAGGCAGAGAGAACTAGAGAGATTAGAGAACGAAGCCACATTCAGAAGAGTGCCTGGAAAGAACTTCAATTAAATGGAAATAACGAATCATTCCTCTGTAAACAATGTAAAATAACTGGCTCTGATCTTCAATAGGAAATTGACGTATTTCACAAAAAGGAGACTGTAGCTAAAGTGTTTATAGTGTTATTGTTATTAATGATTTGGAAAGGTTTTGGAATAAATCTATTATGACAGCTTTAAAGTACTACCTGGAATATGCCTGGAGGAACTGAGCTAACTCATGAAAAGCCTCAGTGAGGCTAGAAGCTGTTCTAGTTGAGACATGAACTATTCATCTCCTGAATACAAGTTAGAAGCTTTGCCGTTTAAGTCTATGTAGTCAGTAGTAACATAAGGATATTGAGGCAGGACCTCTAAAATCCTAAAACTTCAACTATTGGAACTGCAGAAGTATCACAGAGACACTCATTTTCTAGCCTGCCAGAACTGACATTACAGTATTTCCATGGTATAATATAACTAGCCTGGATGTTTACTTCACAGGGGCTGCGTGGGACACAGGGACGGACTGGACCTCCAGGTAAACCAGGTAACCCTGGTGAGAGAGGAATTCAAGGAGCAGATGGTAAACCAGGAGAACAGGGACCTCAGGGACTTCAGGGACTGCCAGGGCCTTTAGGGGCCCCGGGAGACAAGGGTTTCACTGTAAGTAAAGGTGACTGAGTAAAACTGAGAATCCTTGGTGTGCTGTAATTGCAAGGCACAAAATGATTCTGATTAAGGGTGATCATAAACCAAGATTTTATTTCCACTTAGTGAAATGCCTTTATCCTTACTGTGTAATAAGATGATGAGCCACCAAGGCAGCTCCATCAAGAAATGAAAGGTAGAGATTTGTGTCCCGTAAAGGCACCCATGCAGACTGTCTCTTGGGTCTTCCCAGCCTTGAATTAAACTGGCATCAGAGTAAAGTGTGAAGATACCAAACCATGTAGGTCAGCAACCACCTCCGGCTAGTGCTGAGGTCTAGAAAACATGGAGCTCTATCTCTACCCCATCTATAATGCATCATTTTATGATAATTTTAATTAAATAGTATAAAGATAAAGATGACCCTGCACTTAATTAAACACCATACCATGAAGACATATGGGATAGTTGAGGTATATCACCATGTGTACTTAACCTAGGCACTAAGAGGTAAGTAGTCAGCTTTCTATGCCAGTTAATTCACCCCTAGGGAAAGAACCACCTGTACTCATTAGGTAAGAGGCTGGATGGGTCCCAGATGTAGTCTGGATTCTGCAGACAATATAAAAACTCTTTCTCCTGCCAGGAGATGAACTGCATCTCCTAAGTCCTCTAGGTCATAGCCTAGTCCCTATACTGACAGAGCTGTTCAGGCTCATAAAAGAACCTTAACATTGTCTGTGTGTCTGATGTTCCCTTCTCATACAGTTGATACAAATTGTGGTTTTATGAGTGACACAGATCTTGGAACAGCAGGATCCTCTGAAATAATAGTATGCTACTCTCACATTTCAGGTTTCTTTTAATCCAGAAGACGACTGTCTAATTTTCTCTGCCTCAATAACCACAAATCGTGATTGATACCGGGTTCATGTCTCTTAAGATTACCTGGCAGTCCATTTTATTCAACAGCACCACTATGGCTCACAGGCTTGATGCAGGATGCTTACTTTCTAAATAACAATGGTGCCTCTATATGAAGCATGAGTTTGTCATGGCAGTAACTGTGAAGTGTAATATATTGATGGTACGCCATGCAGTCTGTTAGACACTTACTCTGCTTGCTACTTTCCTATCTTACTCTTCAACCTTGAAGATGAAGAAAATACGTTCCTTCGAATCATTGGCAGAATTCTACCACACTACACAGGATTACATCCCAGAAGATTTTACTTTACCAAAGTTCCTGTTTAGGTCTCTGTGTGTAACATTAAATGTTTACACTCAACTGTAAGTGCTGTCTGTAAATTCAGTGGCCATTCTTTATATGTTACTGTTATTGTTACTGTGAGAACTTAGAGATGTTGGCAAATTTCACATGAAGCTTTATGTGTACTGACGTTCTGGCAGAGTAAGTATCTAGAATGATGGAATTCTGAATGACCAGATGTATAGAACAATGATTGGTCAGCATCATCTTTCAGATAAAACTTTCACTTGTCCTCTATTTTACAGGGAGAGCCAGGGAAAGATGGAGAACCTGGTCCCCCAGGGCCAGCAGGACCCCGAGGTGATGCAGGTAAAGATGGTGCTCCTGGAATACAGGGCCCTCCTGGGCCTCCTGGGTCTGATGGTGAGAGAGGGGCCCCTGGACCTGGAGGTCCTAGGGGATTCCAGGTGAGTTTCCTGTGCTCAGTGAAGCAGAGTCATGGCTGCAGTCATGACTGGGTAGTCCACCTCAGTGAAGCAGAGACATATCTGTGTCAATGGAACCATAGGATTCTGCAGAGTGTTTAGAAGAATTCTATTCTAATAGAATTAGAATTAGAAATGTATTCTAATATCTATTTATGGACCCTATAAAAGACAAACTGCAATTGCAAAAGTTAATATTATACTTCATGCCATAAGTTTTTATAAAGAAAGAAAATATGGATGTGCAGACTGCAACACCTATAATGGTGATCTCAAGTCTAACATTATTTGATAAAGAAAGTCAGAAATATTGCTTAATAACTATATATACACTGTGTCAGAAATACTGGTGGGGTACTGAGAGGCTGTGATATAAAAATACACCATGAGCATCACACTGAATATTGTATCTTCACATTCCTCCACACAATCAGCTTTATGAATGGTCACAACGTTGTACCATTATGTTTACCCTTTCCTCAGCTTAGTTTCTTGTGATCCATAAATGTATGTGGTCATCTAGCCATGTTTACTCCCAACAAAGGGCACATTGGACTTTACTGTTAGCCAAGCAAATATTGAGTATTACTGCTTAATATGTGTTGAGGTGTGAATATAATGAAGATTATCCACATGACAAAAGATAGGAAAATAAATATTCAACATAAAGAGAAATTGGAGAAGATAATGTGAAAACATTAGATGAAATAGACAGAAAATTTAGATGACCAGTAATTAGTAGGCCCCATGTGAAAGTAGGTTAGAATACCTTCACCACAGCCCTGCAGGTTGTAGAAGGTGATAGAAAGGGGAAACCACTGCCTGGGGGTATAACTGGGCCACCCTGTCAATGAAAGGCATACATATGGGGAACTGGTCTTCCAGGTTGAGCGTTGGATGTAAGGCTGACAACCTTGCTCTGTGAAAAAATTGTTGCTGCAAAATCCAAACAAAATGGGAACTGGGTCAAATATGGCAGAATCTTTTATGGAAGGCTATGGCTCAAAAGGTGCTGTTTTGCCAATGACTGTGATGATGAATACTTAGTAGGAATAGTAGTCTAAATGGGATACCAGACAGTTGGACCAGTGAGTCAAAATCTGGCACCCAAAAATGTAAACTGCAATGGACCTAATTAAGTATTCAGTATATACATATCTCTCAGCTCAGATGTAATAAGACATGATATTGTTGTGTCGTAGGGGGTGCCAGGAGCCCCAGGAAATCCGGGAACGTCTGGTAAAGATGGTGAGCCTGGCCTACAGGGCCCACCAGGCATACCAGGATCAGCTGGAGGAAGAGGCGAGAGGGGGTTCCCAGGAGAGAGAGGCCCATTAGGGCCTCCTGGGGGACCAGGGCCCCGAGGTGAAGTTGGATCCCAAGGACCTGATGGACTGCCTGTAAGTACAAGCAGAGTTTCCTATATTCAGAATATTTAATGGCTGCAGGAAATGTGTGCTCCCTATCTCGAAATTAATGTCCAGCATAATCCTATACCATAACAACCCATTGTGTTTCCCGTCCAAGCTCCATGCAGGCATAAGAAAACACAAATACCAGACAGCAATGAGCAGTGATCATAGAACAAGGTCACAAAACTATGCACAAATAACAGATCACAAACATTGTCAGCCAAATCATAGGAAAATAAGGAGAGAAAGTGCTCCAATTGTATAACATAAAGGAAGATTTAACATTGTCATGTGTGAGTAACTATAGATGGGGTTTGGATTGGTGAATGGATTTATTGACCACTTATATGCATGACTCGTAAGTACAAGTAATTACAGCACTGTCACTGATCTGAATAATTTACAAATCAAAAGAGCACACGCTAAGTCTTCTCAGTCCACTTTCACTAGTCGTTTCTTGGCAACAGATCTTAACAATGGAGATTCTTAAACTTTTGTGATCATTTCGTTGCATGCTGGCTAATATTCCACAACTGAACTGTTAACCGAACTCACTGAAAGAAAGAAATTCACATTGCGACTGACGGTCGGTCAGTCAGTAAGTCTTGGTGTCGAGCCCAGATTGTATTACTCTTTGATAGTTACGGTCTTGTTTCTGTGGGGCGCACTCTCTGACGAGAGGATGGGTCTGTCTTTTGTATATGCTGCTGACACTTGCCAGCGCATGTCCAGTGCCTGTGCATGAAATAAATACAGTGTGTTTGAAATTAACATTTCTGTAAATTGTCATGTTTATAACACATAATGGAATGCAATTTTAAATAGAAGGTTGCCATTGAAAGTTTTGCTCTGAGGTCAAGTTGTATGTGGATTTAATAACACTCAGTGATGCTGCACTAGATGGTCTCCATGGACCAAGTCATGAGTGTTACATCTTCACAGCATTGTTGCTACTGCAGCTAGTGCAGCTGGTTCTTAGGAGAAGCACCTATTGCTTTAACTGGGAGCATTTCATTCTTACATTCTTCATGCTTTTCTGCCATCTTAGTTTCAATTTGACTCTCATATCCTTACTGTTTGCATCTTTGTCTTCAGCTTTCTCCTGTTCGTTTTACCTGTTCTTCATATTCTTCTTACCATTTATTCTGTCATTATCATCTTCTTCTCATCTGACTTCGTCTCCTCCACCTCCTATTCATCCAATTTCTGCTCCTTCTCCATCTTAATTTCTCCACTAAATTCATTGTCTGCACCTACAAGTATGCATATTGTTTTGTGGTTAAAATATTTTTGAGGACATGCATCATCAGATTGAGATGTGGATCAGTATGTCACGATTAGAAAGTTACTAGATTCTATGTTCATAAAATGGGAACAAGAAGTTCCATGCTGGATATCTGAATACACAAGGATTTTTCCATAAGTCTGCATACTGAAAATATGACATAATTTCAAAGATATTTTAAACAAAAGATATGTGTATCATTACCATATCCCCCATGCCATATTCTTCTATAAACCCAAGTAATATTTCTGGAGGCTAGAACTGCATTCATATTCCCATGTTGCAGGGGCCACCAGGTGCAAAGGGCGACAAAGGGCACTCAGGACCATCAGGATTAGTGGTAAGTATGGACATGTTACCATGGCAATTCCAAATTTTGTGTTAGATCAAGGTTCTGCAGTTTTGTACCACATACTAACCACATTGGAAACATATAGAATTTGAAATTCCCACAGCTATGATTAGGAAGAGTTCTGTCTTCTGAGATAAAATTTCATGTAGTCCATTAAAGATCAGCAAATCTTTCAGCCTGCTTCATGCAGGTTTCTTGTTTCTTTTACTTTTCAACCCTGAAGGTGGAAGCAACATGATTCTCCAATATGTTGATTGACTTTCAACAGACAACATGGCATTGTATTGCAGAAAATTGAACTCTTCACATTAGGAAGACTTCATAGAAATACTTGAAGGAGAGACTGTTGCCTCCAATAATCAGTTACAGATGCTTAGGTTTGCATCACTTTGCATCGCCAGATAAGTAAAATTTTAGGAATATACAAACAAAGATGTTTGACTTCTCCATTCATCGATGATTTTAACAGTATACAGGTCCACATGCTTTCACCTGAAATTGAATCAGTTATTTAGAGGCTGTGTACAGTGCAGTACGATAAGACTCTTGAGCAATGAACAGTGTTGTTTATCATATTTGTGTCCCCTAGGGTTTGCCTGGTACAAGAGGACAGCCAGGATTACCTGGAGAGAAGGGTGAGAGGGGTGCAGTGGGCCCCACTGGACCAGAGGGACCCCCAGGTATGTGCCTCATATATACTAACATCAGGCAAGAATGGAAGAGAAATCAGCATCAGTTTGTTCTGACACATGAGCCTGCATGCACAAAATGTAAATTCTTCATAAATTTTTAAAAACTGACTAAGTAACTAAATGGAACATAGTTCATCTTGAAAAACTAATAGTTTCTCATGTAGTCAAGATATTTCCAGCATTCTGTGAAACCCAGAAGTTCAGTATCATGTTTAGAAGAGCCACTACTGGTTCCTGTCCTGAGTCAGATGAATCCAGTCCACATCATCCCATTCTGTTGTGTTAAGATCCATTTTAATATTATCTTCCTCTCTGTATTTTGGTTTTCCAGTTACTCTCCTTGCGTTAGGATTTTTTTTTTACCAAACTCTTGTATTCATTTCTCTTTTCTTGTGTACATACTCTATGCCATGCCTACTTCATCCTCTCTGATTTTGTAATCCTAATAATATGTGAGTCTTCTTATGTAGATTTCTCTAGACTCTTGTGTACTTTCTCTTAGGTCCAAATATTCTCCTAATTTAATTTACAAACTAACACCCATTACCTTGTACAAGTGTTCAAATTGCATAATTGAGGTGCCTTGTTCTGAGATCAAACCATTCTGTTTCAAATGTTGATATCAACTGAAATAATTCGACATATTGCCTCCATCTTCATGACCAAAGAATAAGCCAAGCAAGAAACCAGCATAAAAGCAAATGGCAAGCAGCACAACATGTTCCTCCAACATGCTGGTTGACTTTCAACAGGCTACATGGCATTATATCCCATAAGAAAATCCTCTTCATAACCACCATTGTTAGAACTTAAAATCCTATATCTTGCTTAATCAATTAAGCAGTGTGTAATGAGGATATTTGGGGAAGTATATGCAACATACCCTCTGCACGTGATGCATTATCATTTGGTAATATAATAACTGAAGGTTATGATGACTGTTTGCAGGTCGGCAAGGGGAGAGGGGTCCTCAGGGGCAGGTTGGTGCGCAGGGTCCCCCAGGGGAGCCAGCAGAAAGGGGGGATCCAGGGCCACCTGGACCACCTGGCGAGGCAGGAGCCCCTGGAGGTCCTGGAGAGCGAGGTCCTACTGGACCCCAAGGACTGCAAGGATTTCCTGGCTTACAAGTATGTCACTCTTACAATGTTGCTGCTGCTTAACTGATATCATTGTCAGCATGAGGATGTATTGTTTCTGGATGACAATTTAAATTGCAAGAAACAGACAGAAGGGTGACTGGCAAGGCCTTAGGGTCCTGCTAAGGCCAGATTGAAAACACTAGAAAATGAACTTAAAATTTTATAAAGAAAACTGACTTTCTCAGTTCATTCTGATGTGCTCATTCCAAGTCTTGACACAAAAATTTTCCATCGCATCACACTTTTGTGTATGGTATTTTGGGTGAAAACATCACAATTTATTTACTATCATATTTTCTTAACTATTGTGTTTTCTTATCTTTTAGTGTTCTTATAGTTTTTACCAACCTGAGTACCCTGCTCTGAAGCAGAGGCTTCATTTAATGTGAGAGGTGAACAGAAGACAAGTAGTTAACACATACAAGAAAGAGACTCAGTTCCTTCTTTGTGCTTATTAGAGGCAGCAGTTGGATCATGCAATCAAAATGTCAAAGAGTACAGTTTTGTTAGAATTACAGTGTGTGATAGTATGATTTACCAACATGATGTGTTACAGGGGTTGGTAGGCCTGCCTGGCATGAAAGGAGAGAGAGGATTCCTCGGAATGAAAGGTGAACAAGGAAAATCAGGCCCTGTTGGTAAGTACCCATGCAGACAAAGAATCCAGCATAATCATGGCCATCCTAACAATTATTATTATTCATTACAAATGGGTTTGGTGTAGTATATACCAAGCACTAGCAATGAATATTAACAACTTTATGCATTTACAGTAATTGAATATGAAATATGATGAGTTAGTACTATGAAAAATAAATTTTTTATTGTCATACAGGAATTTATATATCTTTATTGTTTGCATCCTACTGTGTATTACTATATAGCAGAGGTTCCCAAAGTGGGAGGTGCAAATGGTTTTATGGTGGGGTGTATGTTGATTATATGAAAAATTATTTTAAATGAAATATGGAGAAAAATTTTGTAAATCCTTTGCTTGATTGAGGTAGTGTAGTTTCCATACAGTACTACAGAATTCAAACTCATAGAAATCAGAAGTTTTAGGAAGTAAAGGACAATAATGCCACAGGAGTCCCTGGGTGAATTTCCAATAGACTTCTTAATGACATTATTACTCGTATACAATATTTTATACAAAATATAATGTTGTATAAAATATACATATACTCATGTCATTAAGAAATCTGCTTGGAATTCACTGTTTTACAAAAATACATAGGGGTGTGGGATGTCGATGTTCTAAAACACATCCACGTAAAACTGTAACGATTATATATATTATATGGTATGTATTAAATTTACAGAATAGCTGCGAAGCTATGTGGAATGTCGATGTTCAAAAGTTTGTTGGCCCTAAAAGGGGCAGTTTGTTCCACCATGCGTGCACTGGTAGACTTTGCTGCAATGCAGCAGACCGGGTCTTTATGGCCATTCAGCTGGTCTGGCCGGCCAGTGATGTGGTGCTGCATGCGCCGTTAGGAACAGTTGCTTATGGTGCAAGTAATGGCAGAGCCATTGTCTCAGCATGGCTGCTGGAGAGCTGTTGCTGCTTCGTGACATCAGAGTAGCTGCGTTAGCTGTCTTTGTCCTAGTGAGGACGATTGAAGAACTGATGATAGCTTGTTTTGAGCTCCGCCTTTTATACCATGCTTGTTGGGCACAGCTAACGTTGCAGTTGTGATTGTGAGCACTGATTGGCTATCGCATGTGATGATCTACAGGTGGGCTGGACATCGAGTGCTGTATAAATATGATTGCTGGCCGCAATGTGACATTGTCTTGGCTTGAGCAGAAGTTGAATGCTGTCTGTTAGATAGACGAAGCTGCGTGTTAGTATGTGGCGGTTCCCACAGGGGCTTTCAGGACACTGTATGAGTCAACATATTTTTTATGGACTGAACTTTGTGGCTCTGTTAAACCAACTGACCCTACTGTTGTTAAGGTGTACAAGAAAGCTGCTCAACCCCTCAAGTTAACAATTTCCACAGTCTCTCTCTCACTGTATATGAAAGCTTCATGAAATGTGAGACTACCCATGATTTCCACTGCACAGGAAGTCCAGGAGAGCCAGGACCTCCAGGACTGGTGGGGCTCACGGGTGCCAAAGGAGCCAGAGGAGAAGCAGGATTGCGGGGAGAAGTGGGGCTCATGGGACCACCAGGTCGGCCAGGGGAGCCAGGACTAGCAGTGAGTATATATTTCATCACCCACAGAAAAATACTGCTGGACACCTTAAACAACGAATTTACTGATCAGGTTTTTAACCCTATCACTGCCAAGCACTGCCATCACCCTAGCTACCATCAGTAACAAGGCTGCCTGTGGGCAAATGTGTGAGGTGATTCAGTCAGGTCGTGGTGAGAGTGCAAAGGATTCAATCCACAGTCACTAGTTCTGAATGCTTCTTATCTATAGTGAGTACTTTTTAATATTTATGTGTACAGGAGAACAATACTTAACATCTGAACAACGGGCACTCCTGATCACAGTACTTCATACCACACAACAGTATTTCTGAATACATTTCTAAACTTAGATTAAATAATGAATGACACTCCCATTAAATCTACTACTGAACACTGAATATTCTTTGTGGTACAGTCAGGTACTGCAAACATGTGCTGTATGAACTGCAAGCATTGCTGCTTGCTACATCCACAGTTGAATGGTTCATGCAGAAAGCATATCTTTCTAGTAAAACTGAAAAATGTAAAAAATTTCAAGATATCAGAAGTGTAAACAATACATAATTAACATAAGGATAGATACAAAGAGATGGCAACTTGCATTTCATTCTCAGATTTTAACCTTTTGCACACCAGGAGCCAATTAGATTGGCTTATCCTAGTTGTGTTAAAGCTGCCAGAGTTGAAGAGATTGGCTCACTGTTAATAGCTTAGGAGAGTATTTCTTTCAACAGAAAGCAGCAATTACTAAAGTAAAGAACAAGCTCTTACAGTTCCTAATTTTGTGACCATTTGTAGGTAATTGTGTTGTGGGTTTCTCTGTGCAACTGCATTTCCCCCCAGAAGCAGCTTCTGCATTTCTAGCAATTATTTCTGTGTCAGAGCTTGACAGTCATATGGTTGAAGTCACAGTAATTGCTTATGAATGCTATGCTGATCACACAGAATATCAGAGACCTTAACTATGTCCATACTACTTAGATCCTCTAAACATATCACTTTGTACTCAACGTATATGCCTGAACAGTTTGAATAATTAATACTTATGCTCATGAACACACATTAGCTGCTTAGGATAAATCTTAAGAAGAAATTAAATTTTGATTTAACACATGTTTGTGGACATTGTGAATATTTATGAGTGTTAATAAACTGCAGTAAATGATTCTAAACCCTTTGTAGCAGATGTTTACTAATATCTTGAACCTTTGTTCACAGGGCCAGCCAGGATCAGTGGGACCACCTGGGACACCTGGTGTGCCTGGAATTAAAGGCTCACATGGTGATACGGGTAGGCCAGGGAATCCAGGGCCACAGGGTCAGCCAGGGGCACCAGGCCCTGAAGGCCCTAAGGTAGAGGACTGTAAAGTGCATCATATTGCTCATCATATGAGAAACCCAGGTTGTCACATAGACTAACTTTATTATGTTCTCAGGGCGATACAGGATCTGAAGGGCCTCCAGGACCTCCTGGGCAACCAGGACCTCAGGGTCCTTCAGGGGACAGAGGACTGCCAGGACTTCCTGGCCCCACCGGACCCGGTGGGGCAAGAGGCCTCCGAGGAGCTGCTGTGAGTATATATCAAGGAATGCCTGTGGAGAGGGTGCAGAAACACATCTTCAAATCTGTTACCAGTCTTCCTACTAACATGCTGGTTCTGAGCGCAGAACTTCTCTATAAGGAGACAGCCGATTGGTATGATCAGATTTTAATTTCCAAAAGTTTTACTGTTACAGAGTGATAAAGTAGTCAAAGTTTCCGTTTCAGTTTTGTAATGTAGTTCATTAATATTGGCACATGATAGAGTCACTAGATGAGGTTTGGATTGGTAATCAGATTTACTGGACATTTAAACAACTCATGAGTACACTTTGGAAATCAATATCACATACAGACTAGTGTTCTCAGTCACAATCTACACTGCACTGTTTGGAAGCATACTTCAATGGTGGACATTCCCTTCCCTCTGGGTTCCTGAAATCTCCCCAGCCTAAGCTAGCAGTGACACTCAACTGACTGTCTGCCTGCAGATTCTATCTCGACTTCCCTCTAGACATGTTTTCAGAGCTGTTCCCTAGCAACGGCTGTCTCTACTGGCTTCACGGTTCTTGCTTTGAGCAAATATGCCAAAATATTAATACAATTTACATCCAAAAAGATATATAAGAATGGAAGTATCATCACGTTAGAGTAAGGATAACTTGAACATGTGAAGCAGTGTATGAGTCTCTCCTCTGAGAGGTCTGGAAATATCATTGATCATAATTGGTGTATTAATCGATTATCAATTATATACTGATATGAGTGTGGGTATATTTGTAACATGATCTCCACATTCATAATGAAAAGCAATAAGAAGAAACAAAATACAGTTCCAACTGAACATAATCATAACATAAGCCATATGTGTTAGAAACTCCATAAAGCACCAACTACCTGCCTTCTTGATGTTCAGTAATTTTCAGAAAATGTGTGCCTTCTTGAATTTCTCTGAAGAGGATTGGATCTAGGTCTCACTCATATGTACTGTGCACTGCACTATCAGACTGAACACTGTTGCAGGGTGACACAGGACCACCAGGCAAGCCTGGAAGTGAGGGGCCACCAGGGCCTCAGGGTGTAGCAGGACCTCCTGGACCTCCAGGACCTCTTGGAGAGCAAGGACCTGAGGGTGCACCGGGAAAAGCAGGGCCTCCAGGTATCGCCGGCAGACCAGGAGATAAGGGACCAGTTGGACCATCAGGGGTGCCAGGACCCAGTGGGACACCAGGACTGCCTGTAAGTCCACTTCTTTACACTTTCCTGTGTTCATGTCCTCCTCTCTTTTCTTGTTTATCTCTCCCATTATTCACTTGTCTCTGTTCTAGGGCCCTCCAGGTCCAAATGGCCCACCAGGACCATCAGGAGAACGTGGGCTGAGGGGGGAGACTGGCCCACAGGGGGTAGAGGGACCCCAGGTGAGTGGTTTGACACCTGATAATGCAGTTTTACACCTGTGGAACCATGTGCGACTAGTAGTGGTGCTCAGTTTTCCTTGTCAGTGAATGACAGACAGCAGCTGAAGTACTGCACTGTCAGCCTGAGAGAAGAGGAGTTAGCAATAGGTGAAATGAGATTGAAACTCACAGATTTCGTTCTGTGTGTCATTGGTAGGTCCAAAATTACTCCATACATGAACCTCATGACAATATATCAAATATATCAAATGAGGGTCAGAGGTCAGGAACTTATTAAAACTGATAATATTTGTCATATTGACAGCACTGACATACCGATTTAGCTTAGGGTCGAATTTAATTGACAATGATATTTGATATGGGACTTCATTAGCAAGAGGGAAAAGATGAATACCAAAAGGGGGGGGGGGAAGACTGTGTATTTATATCTTTATGTGTTGGCTACAGTAATGGGCCAGTGTGGCTCATAGCCATATCATATTGGATTTGAGGTTCTCACAGTGGTTGTTATGTAGAGTTCTCTCTTCTGGGATGTAATGGTTTATAGTCAATTGAAAGTCAATCAACATTTTGGTTTGCTACATGGCATTATATCCCAAAAGACTGAGCTCTTCAGAGTCATATCTCTTCAGTAACAACCAGTGCAGGAGTCAGGTATCTAATTTTGTCAAAATCAATCCACACAATCAGAGTACAGTCACTGCCTGTCACATGGATAGTCCAGCAAATTTGTATAATGGCTGCCACATGAAGTGATCTGAAGGTGTAGGGAGAAGTGGGTTTTTCTAAATGATGTCAAACTGATTACTGGAACCAACAATTCAGAAAATAATGTGAAGTAATCTATGTTCAACCCTTGAAGAAGGTGATCAAGTATTATCATGTAGAGAAAACAGTTGATACCAAAATCTCTTTACATGTTGAAAGAGTATTAGCATGCTTTTACCTAGGAGTGCAAATAAAGCATATCTTTGTTACAAGGCTTGTAGATCTCAACACTGGATCCTTCGCTTTACAGGGTCCAAGAGGTAAGCCTGGAGCTCCTGGACCTGAGGGAGGTAAGGGAGAGAAGGGTGAGGAAGGACCTAAAGGTGCCAAGGGTCATCGCGGTCTCATCGGTCTGCAAGGTCTTCCAGGCACTCAGGTAACACAGACCTTCTTATTGGGAGCTTTGAATCAATATTGGATTGTCATGATAGTCACACAGTTGCATTTGCCATTGTAGGGGCCTGCTGGAGAGAAGGGAATGACAGGGTTACCAGGGCCACCAGGAAAAGATGGAGAGCCAGGCATGAAGGGTAAGCTGTAACTGGTTTGCTTGTAATGATGCCATGCTGAATGGATATTCCAGTTTTTCTGGCAGAAGCACTTTTAACTAATTAATTAAATCTACATTATTCCAGCTGTTTTGTAGAACTGAAACCACTCTGTGTGAACATCTCCTCTTAACTTCTTCTCTGGAAGAGAAGGTGTTACAGTATCAGTCAAGCAGGTGAAAGAATTGAATAGAAATAAAAGTGTGATTTAGGTGAATGTAGCTTATATGTTTCTGAATTGAGGCATTTACAATATCATTTCATCAGTTTTCTTATTTATTTATATGAGACCATAGTAACCAAACAGTCTGTAGTATATCACCATGACTGCACAGTCTTAAGCATGTTCTACCTTCAACTGCTTGAACACTGAGATGTGGGTTTGAATCCCACTTCAGACATTAATGTATGTCTACATTTTTTTCTATGTTTGTTCCTTCTTGTAAATAGTTAAAGGCTTTGTGAGAGGCCCATGTGTTAGTCAGTGAGTTGTAACAATTCCTGTAATATTCATAGTTTCTGAGTGTGAACCTGCCAGGGAGCAGAATCTATAAATGTAAGAAGAAGCGAGTTGCTATATCAGTGATTGTGGCATATGACACTCTCTACTGCAATTGAACCCATTCAGCCCAACAAAGAGTAAACATTGCAATAAGACTTGTAATGGATATGTTCAGGAATGGCTGGTCGAGATGGAAATCCTGGAACTCCAGGTCTGCCAGGTCCTCCAGGACAGCGAGGGCCAGCAGGTGAGGAGGGAAGACATGGTCAGCCTGGAAATCCGGGACCACCTGGACCTCCAGGTCCTCCAGGAGAAACACTGGGATATGATGCAGCAGCACTGGCAGCCCTGTTAGGACAAGGACAGACAAAGGTAGGAACAGGAACTAAAGAAGCTAGCAACAGGGACAGAATACAGCCATGGCAAGAGCTTTATCTGGGCAGCATAGACTCTAAACAAAACAGATAATATATGAGGACAGGAATGGAGAAGAAGGAAGGAAGAAGGACAGGATCTGAAGTACAGGAACAGGGCATGGCTGGAATAAGGGCAGTGATAGGGAAAGGTAGAGTCTCAGACAGGGAAGAGACAGAGTGAAATGCTAAACAGGAGACTAAACAGGACTGATCACATAACATTCAGGGAATCAATGTAATGGAGAGTTGTACTGTTTGTTGAGTGCTACTGACATTTGTTTTCAGGGCCCTGACCCGCTAAGTGGAGATGAGCCAGCACGGTTATTTGGAGCAGATCTTAGTGACAGTGAACGTCGTGACCTTGTTATGAAGGCATACGAGACTCTAAAGACCCAATGGGAGCGTTTCCGGCGACCCAATGGGAGAAGGGACTTCCCTGCCAAGACTTGTCGTGATTTACATGTGGCACATCCTGAATTACCTTCTGGTGACTACTGGGTGGACCCCAATGAGGGGGATGTACGGGATGCAATCCTAGTGCACTGTGACATGGTGAACAAGGCCACCTGCCTGTATCCACAACCCAACCGCACCCCTGAGATCACGTACGTGGGCGAGGATCAGGAGATTTGGGTTACTGAGGTGGAGGGTGGCATGAAGGTCAGTATTATTGCTTGGTGCAGCTGTTGAAACAAGGGCCATTGAGCTCATGAAGCTTATCGAGTGTGATCAGCCATTATTGGGTCATACTTAGCAAACAGCTTAAACTGACCCAAAAAACTTCCTTTTGTTGGATTACTTAAGACTACTCAGTCACATCGAAACCAAGATTTCTTCAACCAAAAAGTAATTATTGTAAATATTTTTTTCTAAAAGTAACCTCGACCTCTTCAAGTCACTTTCAGTTATCAGTGCCTTAAAAACATGAGAAATAAGACAGATATGCTTAGATGATGAATTACATCCGACTCTAATAAAGATAATGTATCAGCAAAATGAACTCTGTCAAAGTGAGTTCTATGATAAGAGTTTTATCTATATATACCTACAATAATGTGTTACAAACTGTGCCATGTTACACTTATGTAAGAGGCTCTAGTATAATAGTTGCCACGATTGCAGAGCCCTTGGCAACAGGATGTTCATAAATGATTAATGCACTTTTAATCTGTTATACCAAGGTATGTATTACAGCTATACAGTTATAACTCATGCCATTTGAATGACAAACTCTAAAAGATTTACAGGCCCTAAAGATGCTCAATGTGAGCTCCATTTGTGACCCAACAAATATCTATTCTGTAATCCAGCCTATCCCACAATCTTCGTAACATGTTCCTGTCAACTGTCTCAATAAATGCAGTAATTCTCAACTTCAATTTATCGATATCCAGTGGTAGAGGCGGAACAAACACTTTTTCGTTTACATAACCCCACAGAAAAGAAATTGCATGGAGTGAGATCTGGAGAACGAGGAGGCAAGGTCTTGCAAAAGTTTTTCCATTTAAGGCAATCATCAGGTTCTATGAGTAATTTGTAAATCATAGTAAATTTGTAACGTTTCATGCGAATCCATGTGCGTAGAACTTGCTACATGGTCGTTTTTGGCATTTGTAACTCTCAGCTTCCCTTCCACACAGATTTCCTTTGACTTCGACTGAAAGTGGCCTCCACCTGCTGTACAGCCTCTTCGCTCACACAAGAATAGCTATTGTCTTTTTTTTTCTTAAAAATATATCCCTGTTTTTCAAAGTTGTAAAACCACCTCTGTATCGATGCTCAAGGACGGGGACTCTTAACAAACCGTTTTCTGAAGACCCACTGAATACTGGTGCATTCGCTCAATCACGTAAAAGCTCTTCTATATGGGAGAATGCAATTTGTGAAAATTGCAAAACCTGGTGGTAGAGTTAGGTAATATGGAGATACAGTGACAATTTTGAAATCTCTGTTGATTACCGGATATATGTGGGTATGCTTTGTAGTTTCCTCATGTTTTATCCACAAAAATGTATCAATCATTTATGGACACTCTGTAGATTGTCCTTGTTGTCAAGATTACAGAAATATTCTGGAGCATTTCTATTATTGGGATTACAGCTGACATACAAAGCAGACAGCAATCAGGTGGGCTTTCTGCAACTCCTGTCAAAGGGTGCCTCACAAAACATGACATACCATTGTCGCAACTCTGTGGCCTACTTTGATACAATAAAGCGCACCTATAGGAAGGGAATAAAACTGATGACATGGAATGATGCCGAGATCGTGCCACGTGGCAGTCAGAGATTCCGGTATGACGTCGGGGAGGACGAATGCAGGGTGAGTTCTCAGTGGCCAGTGGGGCCCTACATATGTTCCTGATTCAGCACCATGGGCTTAACATTGTTCATTTATCCACATTCTGATATCCAGAGTGACATTTTTGTTATTTTTGTTACTTCACGTGGATCGAATGATAAGTGAGAATCAGTGAGTGTTCACTCTACTCCTGCTTTATTAAGACTGAGCTATTTGATACAGAAGTACGCCTTATATATACATACAGGCTTATAACCATAGTAACACTTAACAATATAAATATACTGTTGTTACACATGTAACTGTAGTTACACATAACAGTAAACATCACTTAGGTAACAAGACATAACCTAGTTCTTAAATTGTTTACTATGATGTTGCCAACTCTAACATTATATTTCAGTATCTGAGAGTTGCAAACATAACAATTGTTTCACACAGTTTCTTTCAGAATTTTCTATATAAACCTGTATCTGACATTCTCATTAATCACCAAAGGCGAACAGTTACCCTTCCTGTTCATTTTTTCTGTACAATAAAGTGACAAAATCTGTTGGGTGTAGCTCCATTAATTCACTGCATGCTATGAGCTGATTAAATCAGCTCAACTTATTTGCATTAAGACTGCCACAGCTAAAGAGATCTGCTCATAGCATGCAGTGAGTACAACATTTCTGTTGATAGATATCAAGTATGGTATACTAATGTTTAGAGGAAAGAAGAGGGTTTCGCATGATGTACATGTAAGTTACTGATTAGTTGATGGCCAGTTGAGGAAAGTGTTCTGGGTTTCTTTCCATGCAATCAGATTTCCTCCCAAGCATTACTGACTTTGCTAGCAAGTAGATATGTGGCAGGGTTTGGCAGTCAGAGGGTTAAAAACATTTTGTGACCCATATTCATTCATTCATTCATTGTATATTCCATAAATCCATATACATAGATATAGAACCAGTCACATAATTAATATAGTACAATACAAATATAAATATATATGTACAGTTT